AATGGAATTTTGGATTCTGGAATGGGATTTTGGGGATCTGGAATGGGATTTTGGGTTCCAGAATGGGATTTTTGGGTCCTGGAATGGAATTTTGGGTCCTGGAATAGAATTTTGGATTCTGAATTGGGATTTTTGGTCCTGGAATGGAATTTTGGGTCCTGGAATGGAATTTTGGACCGCAGAAAGAGCTTTTAGAGTGGGATTTTCGGGTTCCAAAATGGGATTTTTGTGTCCCCGGAACGACATTTTTGACCCTACAAACGTGTTTAAATTTTCAGGATGTATCTAACACATTAAAATACGAATTTTCACCCTAAAATCCCAGTATTTTTTCCAGAAAAAGGGCGTGAAACGAAAAGCCGACACCACCACCCCGACCACCACCGCCATCATCGCCAATGGCGTTGGGGTTTTGGGGGTTTGGGGTCCTGGAATGGAATTTTGGATTCCAGAATGGGATCCTGAATTGGGATTTTGGATCCTGGAATGGAATTTAGGATCCTGGAATGGGATTTAGAACCCCGGAATGGGATTTTTGGATCCTGGAATGGGATTCTGGAATGGGATTTTGGATCCCGTAATGGATTTTTGGATTCTGGAATGGGATTTTGGGTTCTGCAATGGAATTTTGGATTCTGGAATGGGAGTTTTGGATCCCGGAATGGAATTTTGGGTCCTGGAATGGAATTTTGGATTCTGGAATAGGATTTAGGGAGTCTTTAATGGGATTTTGGGTCCTGGAATGGAATTTTTGGATCCCGGAATGGGATTTTTGGTCGTGGAATGGGAGTTTGGATCCTGGAATGGAATTTTGGATCCTGGATTGGGATTTTGGATCCCGGAATGGAATTTTGGGTCCCGGAATGGGATTTTTGGAGTCCAGAATGGGATTTTTGGATCCCGGAATGGGATTTTGGGATCTGGAATGGGATTTTGGGTCCTGGAATGGGATTTTGGGTCCTGGAATGGGATTTTGGGTCCTGGAATGGGATTTTGGGTCCCGGAATGGGATTTTGGATCCCGAAATGGAATTTTGGGTCCTGGAATGGAATTTTGGGTCCTGGAATGGAATTTTGGGTCCTGGAATGGGATTTTGGATGTTTGGAATGGGATTTAGGATTTTGGAATAGGATTTTGTGTCCTGGAATGGAATTTTGGATCCTGGAATGGAATTTTGGATCCTGGAATGGGATTTAGGGATCTGGAATGGGATTTGCAGATTTTTGGGTCCTGAAATGAGATTTTGGAATGGGATTTTGGGTCCTGGAATGGGATTTTGGATCCTGGAATGGGATCCTGGATTGGGATTTTTGGATCCTGGATTGGAATTTTGGGTCCTGAAATGGAATTTTGGGTTCTGGAATGGAATTTTGGAATGGGATTTTTTAGTCCTGGAATGGGATTTTGGGTCCTGGAATGGAATTTTGGATCCTGAAATGGAATTTGGGATCCTGGAATGGGATTTTTGGGTCCTGGAATGGGATTTTTGAGTCCTGGAATGGGATTTTTGGGTCCTGGAATGGGATTCTGGATCCTGGAATGGGATTCTGGATCCTGGAATGGGATTTTGGATCCTGGAATGGGAKTTTGGATCCTGGAATGGRATTTTGGATCCYGGAWTGGGATTTTGGRTCCCRGAATGGRATTTTGGGWYCYGGAATGGRATTTTGRRTCCCRGAATGGRATTTTGGGKYCYGGAATGGRATTTTGGGATCTGGAATGGGATTTTGGGATCTGGAATGGAATTTGGGGTTCTGGAATGGGGTCCTGGAATGGGATTTTGGATTCCAGAATGGGATCCTGGATTGGGATT